TTCAAGGTTTCTAGTGTTATTTACAACAGGACACAACACCCTGTTGCCGATCTTGTCGATTATAGCATGCTATGATACGTCACATCATGTCACACCACCTTACGTTACGTCACGTCACGGCACGTCACTGCAATGTGATGTCCTGCTTTGTTCTATATATTCTCGTTTCATGGAGCAAAACACCCATACACTGAGAAAATGTTGCAATATAATTCTTGAAGTGTGTTTTATTTTTGTGGACGTAATTCATGCTTCTCCGGGGTCCTGCATTTCATTTTTATATCACAAGTCCCAGATTCAATTTCACAGTACATATATTGGCCGCGAGTAATATAAAGCATCTTCGAATAGGAAATAAACACTGTCGCGCCGCGTCCTGTTCGATATGGGACACATAGCGACGTATACAACGCGTGTAAAATACATTGTTTATTTACATGAAATTCGAACACGCGCTGCGCGACGACCACCGCGTTTTAACGATTGCACTTAGTACTGTTCCAAGCGACTATAACAACGCACGCTTAAAACACAAAGGCTCATGGGTAGACGTTTGTTTGTAGACAACGACAAGCTATGACCGTCTGCCTCGTGCGCAGGTGACGACTTCCCCGCTTTAATTCGGAGCCAAGTTCTTCCATAAATCGATTTTCGTCCGTTTTGCATTCTCTGTAATTATAAATGATGCATACTACTGAATAATACAAATATATTTAAATTACAGATTGAAATCATAATGTAATATATCGGTAATCATAATTCAAATTTATTTCAGGTCAGGATTTCGCTCCTGCCGCTGCATGCGGTGGTAAGACAGGTCCAGTACAATGGCATAGCCTTCCGCTTATATTTAACATTGACACGGACCCAGCAGAGAGTTCACCTCTGAATCAAACATCGGCGGAGTACAAGGCAGCACTCGGGAATATACAGAATGCATTGATATTTATCATGGATGATATTGCCAATGACAACACAACAATAGCAAACTGGAACACTGAACCGAGCTGCAAACCATGCTGTAATCCTAATCACGTGGCATGTCGATGTAAAGACTGACGTCACTCTCCATTTTGCGTGGACAATCTTAGGTCACGTACTTCAGATATGTTTTACTAGATAGTTTTATGAAGCGTTAAGTTCCGCTTGAGCAATTAATTGTAAAACATTTTAATATTTTGTGTACTAAATTGTGAAGGGGAAGGGAAGCTGACCCGCTATATTTTAATAAAAATTATACCTCATTACGATGATAGCATTTACGTCAAACGTAAAGACAAAATGCGACCTGACTATACTAATATATCTGCGGGTGTTATATCACGGTTACATCTACACAAACTCAGCATATGTCACATTGTATGGTGCCGTAATTGATAGCGGTAACTATGACAACGTCCTCATCAACGCATACATGTAGAAATATGCATTACAGTAAATCGATATCCAATTTAATAATTATAATCGTGATAATTACAAGAACATAATACAATGAATAACCGATAAACAACCACACATTTAGAAACGAGTGAAATAGTTTTCGGGTGGCAAGGGGTTGGTAGTCTTGTTATTCACGTGAGAGTACATTGTTCGTATGTGGTAACACAAAACCAAAATCTGGCAAAGATACTGTAGTTTTTTGGTGAGCGTTTTGTTCACCAACAGACTGTCGAACCTTTGCTAGGTTTTGTTTTACCGCACACTCAAAAATAGACTATCGAACTTTGTCACTTTTTTTTACAGCACACGATCCAACTGGAGCCATCCCGGAAGCTATTGTATTCATTTAAAACAAATCTCGGTTGCCAGCTTCAAACACGCCCACAACTCTACCCAATCAGCAGTATAAAGAGTGCCATCAAGGCTGTAGACGGAACTTGGAACTTGTACTGAGTCATCATTTTCACCTACTTTTTGCCCTCGAATTGAGTCGCATCATCGGTTTGCATTGATTGAGAATAAACTTTATTAAACTGTGTTTGCTATATTTTTGAAGGTGAACGTTTGTTTATTTACTGTTAAAATTTGAACAAACCTCACACTGACATCATGAGTTCCAACGAGTGTCATCCTTTCTCGCAATACGATCTTGCTTTGATTCAGTTTGGTCCCGCATATAGTAGCGACTTCTTTTGTGTCATCATGTGACATGTCACCTGACTTTAACAGCTGGCGCAGTATTTGTTTTGACGCTGCTTACCAGTGTTCATGTCGGAACGGGGAAGATGCTTCCGACAAATACACTGATTTCTGTCACATTGTTTACCGTTGTTTCTTTAGTCACCGGCGATGAAAGACCGAATTTTATTATTTTATTCGCAGACGACATGGCTTGGGGTGATCTTGGTGCGAACTGGAATCCCCTCAAAACTGCTTCAGACACGCCAAATTTGGATGAGCTCTCTGAAGGCGGAATGAGGTAATGTGTTCGCGGTGATACCGACGACGACAAAACAGAAATATTGTCACACGTGGTATTCTCGGGGCGGAGCCTACGTCACAGAACGTTCTATGTTGTGATGACGCTCACGAAGGGCTCTGCGCGGCGACTCGGAGCTGCTGTAAAAGCTGGTCGAAGTGTTGGCGAGAAAACAGCACAAACTCAACTATGAGACAACCCCAAATTTATATATGTTGCATATGTAGGGGCAATCTTGCTGAGAGTCTCAACAACTAGCCTAAAGCACAGTTTTTTGAGAGTTTTCGACCGTTGTTTTCATCTGTTGTGGTTGTCATGCGATGAAAATACCCGGATGTTCGCACCCGAGAAAATGGGGTTATGGTCGAGGTCACGGTGATGGTATTTGAGATTTAATTTTGGCACGCATGTTGCCAAGCTGTTCGCGATTTAACAAATATTGCGGATTATCGTACAGACGCGGTTCAGGAGTCATG